TATATATACTTACTATATATATATATATATATATATGTATGTATATATATATATATCGATATATATATACCCATTCCTCGCACATACCTCTATCCTATACACATGCTCGGCGTTCTTAGTCGAATACAGCGACACAACTGTGCCCTTGCTGCCTAGGCGACCCGTACGCCCTGCACGATGTAGGTAGTCCGCCACCGAGGTTGGGAAATCGAACATGATGACCTATGCGTAGACATGAACAACATACTATATTAGCCAGTCCGTTAAACGAGTGGTGCACACGAGTATGTATGTAACGCTGATGATGTGTACAAGGCCAGTGCTAAGACGGGTACATGGGTGTACATAGCAGGAGTGGGTGCTGCGTATGGAGAGGGGGTCTGTTACTATACCAATACATATCCATCCACGACTCTCACCTGTGTACGTGGCGAGTAGGAAGGAAGCATAGCCTCTAGCTATTCTCCGTGCATACTTCAGCAAGGGAATGCTATAGCACGCCTCGTTTACGTACGTGACCGCGAACGGGCTATTACATTGGAACAGTTCCATTGGCGAACCGACAGACAATATTTATTTTTTATTTACTATTAAGACGCACCGTATGATACGTCCTCTCACCTCACACAATTGCATGGATAGGCTCACACAATTGCATGGATAGGCGCCCATGCATATGCCTGGCAGGTCCACACTCCAGACTGGCATTGTTATAATTCAGATTAAAAACATGCACACCCAGTCACAGATGTGCAACAAATATTCTACCCATCACATATGTACACCCAGTCACAGGCCTGCCTAGCCCAATGACATGAACACGAACACTGTCTCTGTACTATTAAGACGTGCGGACTACAGGTCAACCACCGACCAGCTATACTCACCCGAATATAAATGTGTGGCATCACAACACCTGTTACCAAACCCATGGCACTCAAACGTGCGATATATAGCCCAAAATCACATGTGTAGCCAAAACACGCACGCCAGTAACAATAGGCGCATATCACGCACGGCTGACAGAAGATCACACCTTGTTGACATTTCGCGTGTCGATGCCTCGGCTAGCAATATCCGTGCACACCAGGATTCCTTTCTTTTGCTGCATAAGGGTACAAGCAGAGTCACGAGTGACTATGGAGGTATAGTAGAGTAACGAGTGATTATGTAGGTATAGTAGAGTAACGAGTGACTATGTAGGTATAGTAGAGTAACGAGTGACTATGTAGGTGTAGTAGAATAACGAGTGATTATGTAGGTATAGTAGAGTAACGAGTGACTATGTAGGTATAGTAGAGTAGGTGTAGTAGAGTAACGAGTGATTATGTAGGTATGGTAGAGTAACGAGTGATTATGTAGGTATAGTAGAGTATCGAGTGATTATGTAAGTGTAGTAGAGTAACGAGTGATTATGTAGGTGTAGTAGAGTAACGAGTGATTACGTAGGAATAGTCCCAATTAATCCTTTCCGAAAACCGGAAAAATCCCACCACTCGAGGGCTCTCTCCCCCGAGCCGTTTAATGGGGGGAATGGTAGATCCATCAGGAAGGATGGATCTTACAGCCCTCCTTTCGAATACCAACAAGAAAAACTTAGTAGAGTAACGAGTGACTATGTAGGTATAGTAGAGTAACGAGTGACTATGTAGGTATAGTAGAGTAACGAGTGACTATGTAGATATAGTAGAGTAGTATAGTAGAGTAACAAGTGACTATGTAGGTATAGTAGAGTAACGAGTGACTGTGTAGGTATAGTAGAGGTACTAGAGGCCACACCTGAGCCCTCGGTTTAGCCGATAAGACGCGTTTCGCTCACAGACTCACCAACTACCTCGAGTAGGTGGTAAGCACGTGCCCATACTATATGATACAGCTACCATCATCATAGGGTGGTGTATGTAAGGTACTTGATACATAAGCACATACTATATGATACAACTAACCATCATCACAGGGTAATGTATGTAAAGTACTTGTAACATAGGAAGACAGTTCCTACGAGCAAGGTCTGTGGCACATAGTTGAATCACAACAAGCCACACACCTACACATACACATACACTTACACATACATATACACACATACACATATACATACACATACACATACACACATACACATACACACGTACACATATACACACAATACACATACACATACTCACACAATACACATGCATACCCACCCATGCAACCCCCCATCCACCACACGTGCACATACCTTCTGGAACTCGTCAATGGCCGTAGTTCTGACCTTCGAGTCCTGGCACCCGTGCATCTTGTAGTTCATCTTGCCTGCTTCGTTAAGCATGCTGGACACCCAGTCACACGTACGGTATGTGTTGCAGAAGACAATCACACTGCCCGTTTGACCGAACAACTGGGCTTTGAGCGCCTCTTGCTTGGTATCGTCATGGCCCCTGTGTGGAGCAGAGAGATGGGTGTGAGTGCTAGTCTAGTGCACCTGACACGAATGGAATGGGACCGCTCAGGTGCATATTGGGGACACTGCATTATCTGGGTATCTGCACACCACCAACGGATAGCCTGCTGTATCCACGTGCTAAGCGTAGGTCATAGGCGTGGAGGTCTATGGATAAACATCACTGAGTGGGAGGCTCGCACGGGCACACAACACAATGCAGCACACCTGAGCCGAATGAACTCGTGCGTGACGTTTGAGTCGGCTTTGTGGACATTCGGGGTGGCCACAAACTCCATCTCCGGCAGTGTGGCGGCAATGGTGGCCATGAGGGGCGAGGTTACCGTTGCCGTGGCAACCACGATTTGTGCACCTGAATATACGACAAATGCATGTTCATATGAATATACGACAAGTGCATGTGCATATGAATATACGACAAGTGCGTGTACATGGGCATGGGCTGTCGATGTCTAACGCTGTGGCTTGCATTACGTCTCCATTGCGTTCACCTTTAACAGCCGAAAGCCAGTCAACTCGGTTTATGTCACCAGCCGAAAGCCAAATAACTTGGTTTATGTCACCCACGAACTAGAAGGCACAAGCCGGGAAGTTACAACTACATCACAGCAGAGAAGGGGACTTTGAACGCAAACCTATTCCATTGTGAACAATACGACGCATAACTTCTGCAGTGGATTCAACGATTCAGGGAGCTGGTGCAATACGTACCCTGCACATGTAAACCAACTGCAGATGATGATATACCCATTACATATACATGTCAAGACATACGCACATGTAAACCAACTGCAGACGATGATTTACCCGTTACATATACATCCCAAGACATACGCACATGTAAACCAACCGCACATGTGAACCAACTGTAGATGATGATTTACCCGTTACATATACATGCCAAGACATACGCACAAGTAAACCAACTGCAGACGATGATTTACCCGTTACATATACATCCCAAGACATACACACATGTAAACCCACTGCAGATGATGATTTACCCGTTACATATACATGCCAAGACATATGCACATGTAAACCAACTGTAGATGAAGATTTACCCGTAACATATACATGCCAAGACATACACACATGTAAACCAACTGTAGATGATGATTTACCCG